AATTTTTCTGAGTAGATTTGCGAATGGCATTCGACGCGTTCGATCATGATAAGAAAGGATGTATCAGCACGAATATGGTGGGCACAATTCTAGGCATGCTCGGTCACGAAGTCTCATCAGATGAGCTCGCAGAAATTATTGGAGAAATTGATACGTGGGGTAAATATTATTAATGTGCAAAAAAAGTCGATATTAAAAGAAGTCATATTTTCCTATTTTTTTAAGCAATAATAATATTTTATAACATATTTACTTTAAATAAAGATAAACAAAGTTGTTATCAAAACTAAATTGTTGAGATTTAGAATATTCTATATTTTTTTTCTTTCTATTTAGAATATGTCTAAAAACGTGTGAAAGCTATTTATTAAAAAAAAGCTCCAGAGAAAATTATTTTTTTTAACGTATGAAACGTAATAAATTAAAAAGTAACAACATAACAGAATTTAATAATGGATATCAAACTAATTTCCATTTTTAGGCACTGGCGAGTTAAAATTCGATGAGTTTTGCAAACTAGCGTCGCGCTTCCTCGAAGAGGAAACTGACACGGAAGCGATACAGCAGGAGTTACGAGAGGCATTCCGTTTGTATGATAAGGAAGGCAATGGTTATATCACTACCGACGTGTTCAGAGATATCCTCCACGAATTGGACGACGCATTATCTCCGGACGAGCTTGACATGATCATAGAGGAGGTGGACACTGACGGATCTGGCACGCTTGATTTCGATGGTGAGAGATCTTGCGTGGCGCGCAGGTGTTAATCCACTCCGTCTTCGTCTACGCGTATATACCTGACTAACCCGGGCGTTTACTTTACAGAATTCATGGAGGTCATGACAGGATAAATTATGAGTTTGGCACCGCGCGAATGCACCGTGTCGATCGCCCACGTATCGAACAACGAGTGTGCCTGTACAAACAGAGAAGCCGAAATCTCTTCGAAGTCGACGCTGGCGGAGTATGCGTTCGCTCGTTTATCATATATGAGAAAAGATCGTCGTAAAGCCAGTATGTTTATAAAATATACGAGCCAGGAGTTTCGACGAAAGAGATGCTCGAGAATAAATCCTAAGGAATTTTTAATATTCACAGAATACGCGTATGGCAAATGTAACGAGATAGATTCTGGAATCTCTGAATTAATATTTCAAGTATAATAATGACGGCTATTAGTATGCCTTGGAATTCATAGAGCTATTAATTTGTCAAGATTGCAAAATTGCTGTCCTCTGTGCCAGGATTTTGATACTGAACTCCCATTAGCTGTTAATTTAATCAAATATCGAAATTTTTGTAATGTATTTTGCCCATGTGGCGTGTGTAATAATATAGATATATAACAAACGTATATATTTAAGATATTATAATTTTTAAATGTATATGAATAAAATTAATAAATATCGATTATGTCAAAAGTATATATAAAATAATAAATCTTGAAAAAGATTGCATGTGTATATATACATTCTATTCAAATTTTAATAGGATATTATTTAATTTTCTAACTTTCGAGGAGATATAATGTGCAATATGCATAAAAATGTAACAATCGTCACAGTCGTAAGAAAATGGGTATGTTTCTACAACTCTCTCTGCAATTGCTTACAAAGCCATTGTAGAAAATCTATAATTATTATTGTTATCCATACAAGAAGTCTGGTATTTGAAAATATAAGATCTCGTGTTGGCAGCAACGACAGCACGTGCTTCACGCCGCAACACCCGATGGCATTACACGCTCGATTCTGCAATAGCAACGTAACCTATTGTAAACTTTTGTCGGAAAAGTAGAGAAATCACGTGTACCACAGGGAGCTCGACAATGCATGCGATGGCAAACGACTGTATTCCGGAATGAACGGTAAAATCGCCTAAATATAATAGCAGTCACCGGGCTTTATGAGCTTATAATTAGGAGTCTAAGAATAAAGCATGCACAATTATTGCATAGTCCGTCTTGGGTCAGCATCACCCATGAATCCCCCGGCGGTGTGCCAATTCTGTCTATTGTTGCGTCCATGCAGTCACACATTATGTCGCTCGTAAATTCTGCCGTTCGGGCACATTACAAAATTTCATAATGAACTACTTATGCGGTCTCGACAATGGCGCGGTGCAAGCTCTAATCGTAAAATGTCTCCGCGATGATCTGGTAGAAAACTCGAAACAATTCTATCGCGATTTAAAAAGCAATTGAAAGAAACGTTCCAATAAAAAATTGCGAATAAAAATTGCAATAGCACTTGCAATCTCGCTTGCAATTGCACCAGCGAAACTTGCATCGTAATATGTATACTTCAATAAAAACAATCTTAAGGAAAAGTTTTCTTGAGAGAAGATTATCGTGTCTACATATTAAATAAATTAATATTTATAAATTAATATTAAAGTTTATTTTTCGTTATATAACGTCAGTATGATATAATATGCTATAATTTTAAATCATTTAAGCAGAAAATTTTATTAAAAAAATAATTTTGATACATTTATCGTATAACATATAATTAAATTAAATGAATCTGGAAATAGATAGAATTAATGTAATGTATTGTTTCTGCACATATGCCACACATTTGACAGAATAATTTTTATAAAATATAATAAATTTAATATAAATATATTTATATCTCTAATAAATTAATACGTAAAATTTTGTTAAATTCAGTTACTAATAATAAATTTACTAATAATAATTTAAACTATTCCACTATAAATACATAAAATAAACTTTAATATAATTTATACAGCTGTATCCGCATGTTACCCGCTTCACATCATAATTAATTATTTGCAACAAGACGAATCGCGTCTTGATATGTTCGCATTAATTTTGTCAATGTACGAACGTCAGAATATTTGGAATGGCCGTTGACAAATCGAACATATGACTGCGGTACAAGCGTGGATGATTTTCGAAACTGAATTAAATGTGTTGCCATGAGTTCTGCATAATTAGGTAAAACGCGTCTAAGAAAATAGAGTGGGGAGAACGTCCTCGATGAATTTGAAAACCGCTAGACTTGGGTTGTAGATACTACCTGGTCAATCACGTGCCAGAAGATCATCGTTATGATCACTTAAAACAGAAGTCCACCGCCAGAATCTGGTGCATACCCGGATAAACCGTCGACGCCAACGTACCACGAGCAGCGTGTGTAATTACCGCTATGGCAAGTACACTTTCGATAAACGCGAGAATAATTTGTCAAATCTTAACATTTTCCCAGCAAAAAGTGGAAAAATTAAATACAGAAATAAAACTTAGATATAAAAATTAATTACTTTGCATAAATTCATCCAAATTGTTTTATTGTTAAAACCATAATTTTAATGGCTAAAGTTTTAATCAAATAAAATAATTAATTGGTGTAATAACAATAAGTTAAATATCTCTATGATTCCAGGATGATCTAAATAAGGACCAGATAGCCCGTACGTATATCTTTTTACCATAATTTTAATTAAAAAATTTTTAATAAAAATTTAAAAAATTCAAAATTACATAAAGTTATCGCTTTTCCCTAGTGTTGAAGAAGGCTTTCAGTGCCTTCGATCACGAAAAGAAAGGTAGTATCGGTACGAACATGGTAGGCACGATATTGACTATGTTGGGTTACGAGCTCAGCGAAAAGACGCTGCAGGAAATCATTAAGGAAGTCGACGAGGACGGTAAGTAAAATTCTGTCGATCTTGCGTCGTTCCCTTAACATTTCCGTTGATTCCTTAACGTTCCTACATGTGCATATATACGTTTCTACTGACAGGTTCTGGAGAACTCGAGTTTGAAGAATTCTGCACGCTAGCTGCTAGATTCTTGGTAGAGGAGGATTCGGAAGCGATGCAGCAAGAATTACGCGAGGCATTCCGGTTGTATGACAAAGAGGGCAACGGCTACATAACTACCGCGGTTTTCCGCGATATCCTTCACGAACTCGACGACAAGCTGTCGCCGGAAGAACTCGATCTAATGATCGAAGAGATCGACGCTGATGGCTCAGGAACGCTCGATTTTGACGGTATTTTTACTATATATCCCTTTTTTATTGTATATCTTATTTTTTTTATATACCTTATTTCGCAATGCTGGTTATTAATTTCGGAAATTAGAAAGCTATTGTTTAGACTAACATTTGAAACTTATTTTTCAACAGTTATTCTTAAATAAATTATAACGAATATTTCAAATTAGTTCAATAAAGTATAACACTAGATCTTGCAAACCATTTTATCAAAGTAGATATCTACTTATTGAACGTTAAATTATAGAAAGCTTTAGATTCACAATCAGTATTACATAATCGTATGTGACATATATCTCATTAGTCTCATTAGTCTCATTAGTCTTATTATCAGTGCCATTAAAAATTATGACTCGAAACATATGGCATTTAAAATAATATGTTTAAAAAATACTCTAGATAGGACCTCAACAACCGTAATTTACGAAATACGATAATATGTGACATGTTTCGAAAGCCAAGTAGTTCATTTAAAATGTGCTCAAGTTACGAAGCCCCGAGCCAAGTAAATTCGTTTCGTGCATGTCAACGTCAGCGAAGCTTAAACATAACCGGCACTAACGGCAAAGTCGATCGAACGTTCAATAAGTCTCTCGCCTTGGGTGGTTCGCCAAGTTTATGGCCCGCGGGATCGAGATGCGAGGCGCCGCCTGATTATACTAAAGCTAAAGCCCGCGTTTTGCGCGCTTTCAGAGTTTATGGAAGTGATGACGGGCGGCGACGATTAGGGCAAAGCGGAGCCGATAATGAAGATGGGCACTCGGAGGCTGGTTGTTAGCCGCGCAATTGGCAACGCCCGTCAGAGAGATAGAAAGAGTGTTCCTTCTCCAGGCGCGCGCTTTTGCAAACCACGGCCGAACGGAAAATTGGACGTTTATAATCATCCGTATAATTGTTGGCTGACTTTCATCGTGAGATGAAGATCACGATGTTTTCCAAACGCTTCTAATAATCGATGATGCGAAAAGCAATGAAAATTCCGGATTGCCTCGAATAAAACGGAATAGCGTTTGTGCAAAGTAAAGTAGCAAATTTCTTCGCAGCAAAGTGAGTACGCGCGCAAAGTTCTAGTGCAATTTTCTCTAGATTATTACGTCGCAAAGAAAGTTATAATTTCCTATTCTACGAATATGATTATGAGTTTATATGTATGTGAAAATACAAAAAGGTCCAATACATAATATATTCTCTAAATTTTCTGGAGTGAATCTCATTCCAAAAGAGTAAAAATACTGCCACTCGGCTACTCGAATAGCAGTATTTTCGCTCCTTGGAGTGAGATTTCACTCCAAAAAATTTAGAGAGTAAATCATACGTAATAAGTTATTAAGTGATATTATTGATATGCCTACATAAATTATAAGTTATTTCTTCTTACGCGTGAGTGTCTTGCCCCTGAACGATATTTCCCGTTGCACAAAGTAGCGCATTGCGTTCAAGTATGCAAGGCGTATACTATTTCCTTCGTAAGTCTTAATCAATACAACCGATTTTATAACTTTATAATCAACACGAGATTATTTCAAGAAATTGTAACTTTCTTTCACCTTTTGAAATATTATTTATGCAATAACGCGACTCAGTAATCAGATTCCGAATAATTGTAACTGTATTATTAAACATATTAAGTAATTTAGTAATTTCCAGAATTTAATAATTTAATAATTTCAAAAACAAAAATACACACACACTTCTAACCAATTAAAAATATGAAAATATTATTATTATCTACGATAATAACCGTTTTTACATCATATGTATACATATGTATACATATTATATACACATATTTATACGTGTATGTAAGCGTGTTGCAAAATAAATGTAATATTTTTTCTACAATTCAAAATTCCCTAATTAATACTCCTTCATACATTTTTTTTCATTCTAAAATATTTTTAGAAACATTATAGCAAAAAAATAAACAATCAATGAGATAAATGCCGATACCATATTTAACGAACGTCATCACACATATAATATTTACTGATGTAGATATCACGTGCAAAATTAATATTTTCTTAAAATAAAGCTTAAGAAAAGCACTTCATATTAATTTAGATTTATAAAAAATATTTATCGAAGAAGAATGTTATACCTAATTTTAAGCAAATTTTTCAAACATTTTATCATACGAGTAGCTATACATCATATTTATATTCGTCCATTCTTATCACTTTCCTAGGTAAAAGATTTGTCAAATAAAATATTGCTCTTCTTTCAGAAATGGAAACGATTTTATAAATGGCCTTATATATAATATCTTAATTGCAAAGGCATTTTTATTAATTTTAAAAATAAGATCTTTTAAATTCTTTTTAATTTAAAAAAATGTTTTTGATAGGACACGCACGTGTAATATGAAGCAAAACATGATGATGAATAAAAATAGACTCACGCGACTAACTAAAACAAATGTCCGCAATCGTTCACACTGATCACTAGCTGTCTGACCAGTGGTGGATTTCCGTTCTGAAAATGAACCACGTAATAATAAGTACAGCAATAAACGTCGCGGCATGTGCAATCATGCTGTGAGAAACCTTACCAAATCGGGTATCTGAAATGTTCTATCGCGGAATTATATCGCGATTCTCACGTCGTCATAGACTAATCTGCTTCGCGTGAAAATGGCCGACCCATTTATTATATAGAGAACTCGTATTTCGCTGAGAGCACAATTATTTGTCAGAGTCATTGAAACTAGAAATGTTGTAACTTTATGCCCTGATGGTCCAATCTATTGACCTTCCGTTTCTTCTTACAGTAAATGAACTCGCGGGCATCATCGATAATGCGGTTTCACAACGTAATGGGAGAAGTCGATGTCATACAAATATAATATGATAATCGAGATAACATAATCTCTTGATTTCATATTGCATATTATACGCAATCTCACAACATATATTTAGATGATATAAATTAAAGCATTACTAAGGTAATTTAAAAACCGCTTCAATTCTCCATTATTGCAATTTTAATATGTTATATTCTTCGTTTTTGAATCCCGATACATATATTATTTATCGTAACTATAACTTAGATTAATATAACGATAAACGTAATGGTAATTAAAAATTTTATGTCATTATTTTATTTTCAATTTTTTAAAATCAAAATTAAAGATTGAGTCATGTAAGAATTAGCGTAATTCATTTAATTTCAAAAATAAATGGAATATTTCGTAATTCAGAAAGTTCAGAATTAGTGATCAAAGGAGAAATATATATCTTGTACAAATTGAGCTTTTATTTTGCTGAAGATTAATCATTATGATACCATGTTACATATTGAGCATAATCACATACTTTTTGCTTTATCCCGGACGCAATAAATTCAAAGTGCAATACACACCGAATATTACTTAGCTTACAGCTCATAAGTATATCATAACTGCTGCAAGCAATTTGCTTCCGTTACCAAAACGACAAAACTAGAAAATTTTGAATCTAGATTTGTGCGTTACGCGTTCATAACGTTTGATTACGAAAGATATTCCTTGATCATAAGGATAAAATAGATGAGTATCGTCATATAATCTTGTAATTGAATTTAAGCCCCTATTTTACGGTAACTTGTATTTCCGCACTGATTATCCGGGATATATTTTGGTAAATGAGGCGCCATTCGTAATAATTTATACGGAAGAAAAGTTCCTTTCACTAGTTTGGCTCGGTCAACCGATGACTATAAAATTTCATTCGCACTTGAAATTGTGTAATAAATCGCGGAGGAATTAAATGATACTAACAGTTTGATACTCTATTATGGAAAGCAGATATGTAGAAAACGGAAAAAGTTCTGCTTCCGGAGTGCAACATTATTATGAAATAATAAATGTGTTATATGAAAGTGCGTATAACATTCGCACATCCTGCGATAGCGAATATCGCGCTCAGCGATCTTCATTTGAGCAACGACATGTAAGTCAAATGTGGTGATGGCGAAACGCCATAGAATTCACCGATGAAATTTCTAGCTTCTAAATCTTGCACAAACCGAATTGTATCATTCGTTCTAAGTATAAATCCGTAAATTTCACGCTACATACGCGCTATTTTTTTTCTATTTTTATAATTTTGCACAAATGACAATTTTTTTAAATAAGTGATAAAATTTTTTGGATTATTATTATATATATTTACGTTTTCTACACAAGTGCAATAATTAAAAAAATTTTCCAATTGTGAAGTAAATTTGTAAATATATGCTAAAATATATATTTTATAAATTCCTTTGGAAATATCAATTTATAATCTGATAGTAAATAATAGAACAAATAGTTTTAATTCTGTCCAGTATATTAATATCAACTAGAAATTTTCACTGAGACTAATACGGATATGTTCCAAATACAATATTAATGATATTCCCTTAATAAAGCATTATATCTTTACGTTTCGAGAAATCGCGACCGGTATATGTTTATGATCAACCGACCTTATGTATTGGCGAAACGGAAATGATTTCGATACGCGAAGAAAAAGTGCATCACGTCAATAAGCGTGCAAACGACGCGCATTTGTCAAAATTTGAACCACGCTGTTGTGCCGCTGTTGTTCGGTGAAAGTAAAATGATTATAGACGTTCGCGTCTGACAAATTTTTTTGGATAGGTTGACAAGAACAGCCCGCAAGAAGCGGGGAACGAATTAAATAGCCTGATTTACGTTACCTAAGAAGTTGTGGTTTATTTCAGCGCTTGAGGATGAATTATACGGGAAAGTTTATCGCACGATTTACGTTTATCGGATGAGTAGAATCCGGAACGAACTACTAATTATATATCAATTATAATAATATATAATTATAATATTTTAATCAAAGTTATTAAAAATGTAATCTACGTCGATAAATTCAATTCGTGTTAGATTTCCTAGTTTAATCGTTCTTATATACTGTAACTAATCTTGTACGTAAGTGAGCGAATTTTCAATATGAGACTATTAATACTGCGACATATTCAATTATGACAGCAATATAAATCATTCTTTTTCCTTATACATTTTTTCTATTTATTTCTTAAGTACATTGACAGAAAATATATTTTTATTATTTTTTATTTCAAGTAAACCAAAACTATTCGCGATGGTGCACCTGAAGGAGTATTAAATCATGAAAATTATTATTATATCTGTCAAAAATAAATTTAGGGTCTTATTTAGGGTCTTATTATTCCTGTACGAGATATGATAATGAGTTACGTGTTACATTCATCACTCGCGTATGATGTACGATTCGAATTAAAGCGAGACTCGTTCGAAAGTAAGTTACGACGTACCTCTGATCGCGTGATTTCCCTTACAAGCTTCTTCAATAAAATATTGATATGATTGCTACGTAAATGATAAATTCCACTTTAAATATGTCATATACGCCCAACAACATAACAGCAAAACAACACGCAATTGAAAGTAAAGAAGTAATCGTAACATTGTGATAAAACAGAATTAATTTTGATTTTGACTTTAATTTAACTTGAATTTAAAAACTTCTTTATCGGAAAATTGAATATTTCATAACTTAAATCTAGTCTAATTAAAACAAAAATAATTTAGTACCTTTCGTATAATAAGAACGTGATGGCATAAGGTCTCAAATTTTTATTAATGTTAAAAATTTCAAAACTCTTTTAAAAAATGGCCAAAGTTTTATTAATCATTAATTATTCATCCACAATGAAATTCTAAAAATGTACTAACTTGATAGAAGTGATATAACGCACAGCAGAAATAACGCACGTATGTACTTCTTCAACGCGTCGTGCCTAACGTCATTATGGTTATTCGCAATGGTCTCAAGAGACAAACCATAGCTCTCAGAAATGCACTACCGCGATTAAACGCTCGTTTAATTACAGAGCACGCCACGTTTGACGGGACTTTCTCCGCCAATTAGGCGCCTAAGTCGAGTCAGCTGTTGTGAATTCGATAACTGGAGTTCGCGTAGTTTCAGAGTGTTAATCGACGCTTCCCGTATATTTTATCGTGATATACGTATATAACATGTCCTTTAAAAGTAAAAAAATATGTCTGATTGCGTTTGGTTTGATAAGATTCTCTTTTCGCTTGATTCTAAACTTGTTATCTATATAATATTCAATACTTATCGCACTACGTTTCATTCAAAAGATTCTTTGATTTTTACGTGTCTTCTTTACATTTATACATCCTTCCATTTCTATTTCTTCTTTTTTCATTTAAGCTTTAGTTAAATTTGTGATAAACTTTTGTTAAAATAAATTAAATGAAAAAGAATCTATTTTGTATTCTAATTTTTAATAGATTACAGTTCAATAATTTATATTCAAAATTTTCAATATCTCGATATCTTTATTACAAGAAATATTAAAAACTGTGCAGATAAGAAAAATATGGATATTGCGATAGTATCGATACCGTGTAGAATCAATTCTATATATAGCTCGAGAAAATTGTTTTAAGGTTCAAAGTACCCTTGTAATACGTTGTAAATAACGAAACACGGATATCGCCGCGTTGTATTACACGTCTGGCTCGACACATTTAGATCCGATTGTTAACTTAAACTCGGCCTATGAAAGAGAAAGTGGGTGAAGGCTAGAACGAATGATTTGCCACAATTACTTGCAGTCTCCTTCGCGTATTACACCTAGCCGA